CCAATATAAATAGGTACAACCCTATGATGGATCATACTGAATTGGATCCAAATATGTTAATAATTGCAACCTGTAGATTATTTACAGACAAAATATTAACAAAAAGTGGGTGTGGCACTGCCCAAGGGGGCGGACCATGTACCAAAATCAATTGTTAAAGTATACAAGTTCCAAAATAATCCATTCAGAATTGTGGCCTTTTCCAAATCTTTATTGCTGTATCATTCTTTTTGTTCACAAATTATATTTTTGTGTCCAAAAATGTAGTAAAGAACACACATCAGTTATTAAATGCTCCCCCAATATCTTAACAATTAACTAAGAAGGGTTAACTTGTAACTTACGAGTGAGTTTTACCATCATAATACTGTGTATCCATGACAATAACAAGATGAGCAGCGATACTGACACCCCAGGCTAAATTACGTGAAACAACAACAACTTGTACAGCTCCTGTATTAAACAACTGTTCTACAATCTTTCTCTCCTTCTCACTTAAACCTTCATGTAAATATCCTACACCACTAGTTAACGTCTCTCGTAATGTCTGAAACAAATAGATAATTATAGTTCATATTAATTCTAAATTACGAATAAGGTCCCACGATAAAAACAGTGAACTTCAGCCAAATGAAATTTGGCAAAATCATAAATCTGTAATGACAGTAATGAGTATGGGCATTTAGAAGCAAAAATCAATTGCAACAATTATCACGGGCAACTCAGAATTTCCGGTTTTACTCATGTATTACAATAAACCAATAGAATTTAATACTACAACTTACTTTGTCAGAGATTTTATCGAGGAATGGATCTAAATCACTCTCAGCAACATGTAAGAAAGCACTCTGTGGCTTGTCATCTGGTCCTGTCTGCATGTCAGCAGCAGCAAAGGTCAGAATATCTATGGCTGTTAAACGAGTTTGTTTTCTTGATGGTACAAACACAGCTACTGGTCTCTTTGGTGAATGTCTTACAATGGCTTGGTATGTTGGTTTAGCCATTGCTAAAATTCTTGAGGCATTATGGGACACATTTAAACCCTAAATTCATAAGAAAGATACATTAAAACTCGGCAAAAGTCAAATTAGTAAACAGAAAAAAAAATGGTAACATCTATTTGTAAGTCTAACAGCATAGGTCTGTGGCTTCCTTTTTGTATCCCTATAAATATTACCTTTTAGTTTAACTAATTATCCTTTGTGCTTGATAGCGATAAGAGAATACTTGTCGAAACGTTGTGCTATGCCTATAAAACAGTGATTGTATTTCCATATAAATTGTGTTGTGTTTTTTAATGTGTTTAATGCCACTCAAGGATTATAATATATATATATATTGTTGAGTACAATTTGAATACCACATACCTGTATGTGTAATTCTAGTGGTACAGGTCGAACATTAGGATGAAAGTTAAAGAAAGATGTTGTACCACAACCCAACCATTGAGCTATATCTTTAGCGTTAGATAAAGCAGAACTGATGGCTACAATACGTATATTTCTCTCTAACTGTGAGGATATATATCTCATTCTGGAACATATTACTTCTAATACAGGCTACAATAAACAAAATAATTAATATACAGGCTGCAATAAACAAAATACAACTAATGCTTAAACAAGCTAATTACAATATAAATTTTAAAACATCTAGTTTTGATTATTTTAAAAAATACCTTTGAAATTTAACTGTAATTAAATCTTACCCCAGCCTGTCCATCTAGAAGATGTAGTTCATCAACAATAAATAGATTAGTATTTTGTACGTTTTTACGCTGTTTCCATCTTCTAGATAATACATCCCATTTCTCTGGTGTAGATACAATAATATTACCCTGTAAAAACAATCAACAGAAAGAGCTCTATTAAACATCTCACTGCTCTTGGGTACATTGAAAAAAGCAGCTAATTTTTGGAATGAGTTGGGAGCTACAGCTACACATTCATATTTAACTATAGGCATTTATAATATTTTCGAATACACCTGTATATATATATTTATGAATCTTAGTATGTTAACAATTTATAGGTCATTTTGGAAATCCTGGATATGATACTGACACTATGCACCACTACTATTAAACATCCTAATTACCTTAGCTAGCAGTTTAAGATCTGTTCCAGTTTCACCAGTTAATAATACAACCTTTTTATTCAACTGAGCAGCAAACTTAGCATAACATTCATTATAGATCTGTACAAAAATAGAATAAGTAATTAACATAATACACAATTAATCAAATGCATACCATATATTTATATACATATTCATCTATTGAACTTAGAAATTATTCAATTTCCTTTAACTTCTATCAATAATTTTTCAAATATTACAATGGTGTATTCCATTTGGTAACAAACCTGTTGCGCCAATGCTTCCAGAGGTGCCACATAAACACATCTGCCATCAGGATTCTGTGTAAACATTCTCAATATTGCAAATTCAGCACAAGTAGTTTTACCACTTCCAGTAGGTGCTCCAACAAATACATTATCATCACTATTATAGATAGCATTAAACACTGAAATATACAAATTATCATCACTATTATAGACAACATTAAACACTGTAATATACACATTATCATCATTATTATAAATAACATTAAACACTGAAATATACACATTATCATCACTATTATAGATAGTATTAAACACTGAAATATACACATTATCATCACTATTATTATTATAGATGGCATTAAATACAGAAATATACACATTATCATCACTATTATAGATAGTACTAAACACTGATATATAAACATTATCATCACTATTATAGATAGCATTAAATACTGAAATGAAATGAAACAGGGTTTAACATCCTATTGTTCTGCTCTGACTGGGCTAATGAAGACGAGAATACGCCATACAGTGTGTTATGGGAGAAATTTTGCCCAGACAACGGCGCTATGGCTTAATCTTATATCAAATTTCAAATGCAAAGGGCTCTTTTACGTGCATGCCAATGTGTACAATGGACCTTGGTTTTTAGTCCCATCTGAACGACTAAACGCTGTCCCTTGCCAGGACCTCTGGCCTGTACCACTGACAAAGAGAACCACACCGAAAAACCTGATGAACTTTCTCGGTCAACACATGGATCAAGCCACTGTCTTACTCAATGAGCCACTGCAGCTCGCTATTTATATATATTAAACACTTAATTTAATCCCTCAAGAATCATTTTAGGTGTGAAAAGATCAAGCCACTAAAATATATGTACCTTGTGTTTGTATAGGGTTGAAGATTGGAAACTTTTCAATGTACAGGGTTTCAAAGACAGAGTTCCGTAAAGCTGTAATAGGTAAAGGTTGTAGATCTAACAGTTCTGTTGGTGGTGGATATTTCTCTGGTAATATTAGATGACGGAATGATACTGGTAACTGAGTTTCAGAACCTTAAAAAAAAACAAAAATGAGTATTGAAATTAATACAACTGGTTATATCGGTTTATTTTAAAAAGATTACTGGGTGAGCTTTTTATGCTAATCCAAGAAGTTATACACTAGTTTAATGTTATTTAAATATTTTGTTTAGCCTATCAACTAATTAATCACTGCTGATTAGTTTATTGATTTACTTGTGGAACTATCTATTGTATTTTGTTATATTACAAATGTTTATCAAAATTAATGGTTAATTATTGATTATTGCTCACATTAATTTCTTGTTTTACAGTAAGTAAAATCTTAATATGAGATAAAGACACTTAATCCATACGGTTTATAGCCAGAAATTATATCAAAACTTACCAATCCACTTGTCTGAAACAACTCGAATAAAATATTGTGGTGGCAAAGGTTCAAACACTGGTACAAAGAATTTCACAACATGTTCATCCTGGGCAAATTTACTATAAAGAAAATGTAATTTGCATTTAATTAATAATAACAAAAAGATGACTGATTAGATTACTGTACCATGGTGAAAATTGTGAGAAAATGGTAGAAAATTGAGTACATTATGGAGGAAACAGATCAACAACGAAAATTTCCAGAAACATTGCAAAAATCTTCAAATATCAGATAAAATTCCTACCTCTTCAGTAAGAAATATTCATGATGTAGAATAACTTCACTATCGACATCTTCTACTAGAATCCAGAAAGCCTGTAAATTAAGATCACAAAAATATCAGCTGTATTTAATCAGTAATTAAACGATTGACAATAAAACTTCTGTCAAGCAATTATAATTGGGAATATGTTTTTTTTTATTTTCACATTTCAGAAAAATGTTAATTATATACCTTGTGGTAAGGTATTTTCCTGGAGAACCTACGATGCAAGTTCCTTATTATATACCTTGTGTTAAGGTATTTTAATGTAGAACCTACGATGCAAGTTCCTTATTACATACCTTGTGGCAAGGTATTTGGAGTAACCTACGATGCAAGTTCCTTATTACATACCTTGTGGTAAGGTATTTGCCTGGAGAATCTACGATGCAAGTTCCTTTTTTTTGCGCTTTAATTAAAGATAATGTAAAGGAGGTTGCTAAAAGCTATCGCAATTTTATCTTACATAAGCCAAGGTAGACAAAGTTTAAAGTTCATAACTCAGTTAACAAGGCCATAATGCACAACATTTACCATTATCATTTGTAATGCCAACCAGCGGTTTAAATAAAATAAATTAGCTCATGAATGCAAGGATTCTACTGAGATTCAATTTACCCTTATATTTGGAAGATGAAAATCACTTGATCAAACTTACTTCAGAATTCTGATGAATCTTTTCTTCCCAATGGAAATCTGGTGTTATAGTAAGTTCAACACGTAGAGTAGATCTTGTTATAGGTTGTATATGTACAGATAGATCAAGTTTAGGAAACTGATGCACATATTTATGGATGGTTTTACCCATCTTTGGCATACGTAGTAATTCTCCAATTTCGTTGTAGCCAAGATCATACAGTCTTTCAAATGGAAAATTTTTCTTTTCTATCTTTTTGACAACTTCTTCACCAATCTTACGGAACTGTCTCAATGGAGTCATGGACTGCCACCTGTTGAAATTAAAAAAAATTTTTTAACATTGTATAAAATCAGGAACCTGATGAGATTGCTCTTTACAGATTTTGATTTAGAAATGCTTAAAAACATTTCATTTTGTGATTTAAATTTAATCCAATTAAAACAAGGTTGGTCCCACTTTTGACCTTTAATGACTAGCCAATTAAATATCTCAATAATTAGAGCCTTTCAAAAGATTTGGCAGAACTTTCTGACTGCAGGTTTTGATTTAGAGTCAACTGACCACAATCTACGCATAAATTGTTAATTGTCATATAAAGAAGTGTCTTTATAAGGTGAAGTGGAGTAGACAACATAAAAATGATAAAGTGCAAAATATTTGTCAATTTTAATTAGAATGGAAGAAATTGAGTCTGGTCTAGTTTTCTGTCACTATGTCTTTGGAGGAATATGAAAGACACAGCATATTACAGAGAAAACACTTACATTCTTTTGTTGACCATTTTACTGAGAGCTAGAGCTTTATCAGCAAGTTGAGCCCAGCTACGATGTAAAACAATCTCAAATATGGCACGGATCAAACGTCCAGCAGACTGCGTAATATATACCATATCAGCCATTAGAGCAAAACCTTCTAGTTTTAACTGTGAGATATAAGCTTGTAGTAAAACATTCACCTGTAGTATTAAAAACAAGAGACAAGGTTAGAGTGTTGAATAAATGGTCTAAAGTGTTGCAAATTGGATCATAGGTAGGCCATCTATTGAAGTGTGTACATTTCAAATCAAATAAAATATTGTTTATAAATTATTTTTCCAATTTTCAGATTAAAGTCACCATACAAGATCTGTTAGTATACACTAACACATTCATTTGCAGCAAATGAATGGGAATTTGTCTAAAAGTTTATATGACTGGCCACTATCTGTCCTTTGTCAATGTATAGAAACGGGTGCACCATTCCCTTTAATAACATGTAAAGTGAAATTTGATCTTATAACAGTTATTGTATAGTGAGAATACTAACCTTAGCGCTAGGTTCTTCAATACTTTCTTTAATAGGTATAGGTACTCTTTCTAGTAGCTTTAACAGTTCCAACTTTTCTTCCTGTAAGGGGAAATATTTTCAAGTATACATTTACGAATAGCAAACATAGGAATATTGATTCCAATATGTATGTGATAAAATAAAGCAAATTGACATACCTCTCTAACTGTTAGATTTCTGAATTCGGATGAGAGTGAGAAGACACGGAACAGTTCAATTTCACTGAGTGTAGGTTTCAACAGCTGATTGTAAGTTGCTATAGTATCATGAGTACAATAATACTGACTAGCTATACGCCCCAATTCCGTTACCTAGACAAAAAAAAAATAAACATTTAAAGATACATTATGGGAAATTCGATAACGAGTTGGCAGTTCTCACTATAATAATTAAAAACTAGATAACGTAAAGGCAATTTGCTGAAAATTTCATTCAAATTGATCCACTATGAACCGAGAACTAAACGAATGCAATTTCTGCCTAGCCTCGTCATCATTACTAAAGTCAGTACAATAAACAGCATAGTCTCAATTATCCATTTAATCATTAAATCATTAAGTTATGCAGTAAATCGGCTCACAATCCACTTAAGATCGCAGGCTAGCAATACCATATAGAGTTGATTATGGTCTGGATAAGTTTATTAATGTCTAATTAATAATATAGATAACATATCAGGCCTAAAGAAAGACCTGCAATAGACAGATTTAGCTCTTGCATAATGTATGTTTAAACTAAGGTTAAATTCATGTGTTTGATATCTCAATATTGTCTTTCCTTATATTTATAGACTCATTCAATTGCACAGGATTGAACAATTTAGAGAGTTATTTTTCTGTGGTTTCCTCCTTTCCTTTTACTTGTAAAAATCACTTCCAAAGAGTGGAAGCAGTTTCTATTTTCATTCCTTTACTGAGATTGACAATTAAAAAAGAAAATACAACTGTTTGTAATAGTTTGTGGATACTTGTGTTCTATTAGATCTCTTCTTTCTATTACCATTGACAGAAATACATTTTCTTCCTAGCTCTCAACTGATGAAGACAGCATAACAGTGGGAGAGAGAGAAATGCTATCCATGTTCAGTTGACACTAACCAGGTCATTTCTGAACTAACATATAGTATAATTTCAATAATTCACTTTGACCCAGGGAGCTTTAGAAGTAGTAAATTTCCTCAAAGAAATACATGAGGTGATTTTTGTAGCGTTAAAAAAATCCCCCAAGACTTACAAACACTACAACTGAGATATCATGTAGTTGTGCTGTTTTAGCAGGAGTTTCTTTATTTAATGTTCAGTTTCAAACCATTGACCAGACTAATTAATTACTCAACACTGGTCTGGAAACTAAACAGATATAAACCCAACACTCATTATCTAATCTGGACAGACCATTTTAAACTACACAACAGTAGAAACCCAATAGTTTTTTATGATTTTCAATGAATTTGAACAGTTTTCCAACAATGGTTTGAAACTAAACATTAAATACAGAAACTCCTGCTAAAACAGCACAACTACATGATACCCGAGTTGTAGTGAAAGATAACAGGCCACCAGATGAACATACCTGTAAGTTACCAGATTTTTTATCATATCTACACAGATTATGTTTATGTAATAAAGAAGCTGCTGTATGTATTAAATCTTTACGTCTCTGTTGTAATAATGGATCATCTTTTAACTGATCATGACTAATACCATATAATGTAGGGTTACGTAACATTCTTATATATAGGTAGGTATACCCTGAAAATAGTTTACATCCAAGTTATCAAAGGTTTAGCAAAATTTAAATATCTGAAAGCTTTGCTAATTAAATTAAAATACTTTAAAAAGAAATATTTTTGAAAGGTTTTCAGTATCCCAACTGTATACCTTCAAAGCTTCAAGGCATTTGATTGCTCATTAAAAAAAATCATCTATTAGCTAATGAGGTTAATAAAGATGAAGATATACATAGAGAAAGATAAGGACTCTAGTCTGTAGATATACTCAGTACTTACCTAACCAATCAACTGCTTCTTTAACTGTTTGTACTGTACCTAGAACTATTTCAGCATTTAAATTATCAGCTAGTTTACTAATAAACTGACTTTCTACTGGTAACTGCAAAAAAAACCCATAATAATAAATATCTATATTTCATGGAGGAAACAATACATTGCTTTAATACACAGAAAAGCTTTCCTGTAATATAAGTAGCATTAATTATGGTGAAAGTGTATTAGTCAATCACCTGTACAGTGTATGGAACATTATTCACAATTCAAATATAAAAGTAATCCCGATCACCAAAGACACACCATTACAATGTTTGTTTATAAATGGTTGGCAGTAAAAAAAGTTGAAGTCTGTTGAAGGAAAGAGAAATGCCAGCATCTTTTTAATATATTTTCTGCCAAAATAATGATAATAAAACATACCTGTTGATTCATGAGTGATAAATAATACTGCAATTCACTGTGATTGGTTATCATTATACCTTCACCTTTAGTATCATACTGTGGTCGACCAGCACGACCTAACATCTATAATAATAAAAAACATCTATTAGCTCAAGTAAATGTTTCATAATATATTTTATTATATCACATCAGATACTACGGAGATACTCACATGTTGTTTTCTCAACTATTTTCCTTGCAGCTGTGGTAATGGGCTATAAAAACTAGAGATGGGTGTCATGCATGAAACAGGGTATGATTTATCTTGCTAGAGCGCCTAAATTCCACTTCTTACTTATTTAGAATGCTTATGTAGATAATATATTGTGTTATTCAATATGTCACAAAAACAAAAAAGAACAATAGTAACAAACCTGCATGACATCAAGAGCTCCTAATTCCACCCATCTTCCTTTCTCGGGATTATATATCTGTGTACCTTTTATAATAACAGTATGAGCAGGAAGATTAACACCCCAGGCTAGTGTAGATGTTGATACCAGTACTTGTATATGACGATCAGCAAACAAATCTTCCACCAATGTTCTGTCAACTCTACATAATACAAAACAATAAAATAATCATTTAACTTTTTTAACATGATATAAAAATACTTTTCAGCATAATGTTTTAGATATATTCCTTTCAGATTTGATCTTCAAATTGCACTAATTAGAGATTACATTCCAATTACGCAGAAAAATATATTTGTCGTCTGAACTTTATGCATATTTTGTGGAGAAGTAAATCTAACATGAAGGCCATTTCGACTAACACATCATCTACCCAAGTTTGAATTGGTCAGCAACAGTTCTGCACCTGTAAATTATGAGTTGTTACCATTGGCCTTCTGCTCTAACATGTATACCACCACATTGTCAAATCTAGTAGTTTATAGAATGGGATTTCATTATATTTTGTTTGAGCCTACTAACCACTATTATTGTTACAGAATATAAGAAATATTATCCTTTCAGCCAAGAATAAGTTTTGGGGTTAGAATAGATGACTTAAATACCACAAAATATGGCTCATATAATGGCATAACACAAGCGGATTCAAAGCCATTTTAGAATCTAGTACCAACCTTGTCATTCCAGCATGATGTATAGCAAAACCATAGGAAAGCAGATCTTTTAATTCATGATTCTGAAAAAAATTGTGTTTAAAGAGATAATCGTATATGTGGATATATTTCAAAGAGTATTAGATATACAGTGTATGTCATCAATAAATAACGATCTTCTGATTTGGAGGCCAAGACCACTGAGATCCTTTTGATTTGAAAACCAGCCAGACAACATAATGCAAGATAGCCAAAAATAAACTTTATGATAATGTGTCAAGAGCCGGAGAGCAAAAGCTTGTTATTTATGAAGGTTGTTTGTGAATAAATATATTAAGATATCCATAGTAAATTAGGTCACATCAATCTTAATTAAGAACACCTATTCAAATTTTGCTTCATATTTCTTGGAAAGAATATAATTTCAAGACTACTCTTTTATAAGGTTACGGTTACACATAGGTTAGTCACAACATCAAACTTTTTTTTAATGAATTTAAAGTATAATGTTTCTACTACATGCCTCTCACCGTTAAGTTTTCCGTTGTGTTACTGACATGATAAATTTCAGCTGTATAAATGTAGAAAAATTACCAAAAAGATGTCCCCTATGGGTCAAATTTGAAGATTGTGTGTTCTGTTAGTGCCATCTAGTGTTCATTTAAAGTCATGCTGCTAGCTTAAATTATACATATATATTACTTACATTGACCAACTCTGCTTCTCTTCTTAAAATCTCAGTTGATGCTGAACCTTCTTTAAGAAAGAGACCAAGTGAATCTTTCTCTAAACACATATCTCTTACAGCTCTAGCTGTTTTACCTGTTTCCTTACGTGAGTGTACAAATATCAACACCTGAAACGATCAAATATACACATACACATGTCTTTATACAATAAATAGTGACAGGGGAGAAACAGGATTTTAACTCAACTAGGTCATATGGGACTAACATATGGTAAATGTTTATTCCATATTTCTCAGTTATGTGAAGTATTCATTTAGCAGATGCAAGTATATTGGAAAACTAAAAGAAAAACAGTTTAAGCAGACGACCCTATTCCTTGTCACACTAAATATTAGAAATAAACTTGTGGCTGCATGGCCGACAGATCAAAAATCCAAAGGACATTGCTACAAAACCTCAGAAGTGTCAAAAGATGCTTTGAAAATCTAAGATTAACTATTTGCAGGACTCAACACAAAATTGACCTTCTTCTATATATTATTTTCACAAGTCAACACCAACTGCTCAGAATTAACGACATAGCTAACAAAATTACATACCTGATTTTTTCCAGCGTGTTCCAGAACTTTCTCATAAACGATATCATTCATAAGTTGAAATCGTTTGACAGCCTTTTTCTCTGTTATACCAATAAACTGTTGTTCTAGAGGTACTGGACGGAAACTATTGTCAAAGAAAAATAAACCTTCCTTGGGATCTACTCTCAGGAAAGTGGCTACATCTTCATAATTGGGTAAAGTAGCACTGAGACCAACCAATCGTACATCTTCTTGTGTTGTTTCTATGTTTCGAATAGTTCTAAAAATAGAAAAGAAATGTAAATATGATGAAATGAATATAAAATGTTTACTGAGAAAGGAAAGAACAGGACTGCAGAACCTTATACTTTATATCAAATTCAAACTGTGTGGGCATTTGTATGTACATGTCAGTGTATACATGGACCTCTGATTTCTGCATCATCTGCAGAGATAGGGAACACTTTGTCATTCCCTGCTCATGGTACCCCTAAAAGTGGGACAATTATGAAGTGCCTCTCTGTTTACATGGTTAAAACAAAACAATCTATAATGCAATAAAATGAGAGAACAGGGTCTAACATTCACTCAATACAATTTCAAGACTAACATAGCAAATATATCTTTATTTTAATAATTCACTTGTACACAGGTATCTATAGCATTGGGAAGAACCTGGAGAAACCAGAAAAATCCTATGAGCTTAAGCAGGTGATATATACAAGCATGAGATCAAAACCCACATTCACTTACTCGCCCTCCACCCCCAATGCAAAATAAATGATTACCTGGCAACTAGAGCTTCTAACACTGGTCCACGATCATCATGTAATAAATGAATTTCATCCTGAATAAAGATCAACAAATATTACTATAACATGGATTATCTTCTAGATCTTGCAATTCTATAGACTGTATAATCAATAATTTAACAAATGTTATCATTTTTTGATGTGGCCTGTCCTGTAATTAATCTACCCATTTAATAAATTGAATAAAAGTATTTTTTGAAGATAAAATCTCAAAATTAAGACTAATAGGACAATTTTTGTGAATTATACTGAATGTCCCATAGCATGAACCATCCAGCTTTAATAAAAAAAATCAATAAAATCAATAATGTTCTTACAAATATCATCAGTCTAACAAGCTGTGTATATGTTCTCTCTCCACCTTTACGAGTTATAATATCCCATTTCTCAGGTGTACAAACAATAATCTGTGTAGCACTAATCTGTTCTCTTGATAACTGATGATCACCTGTTAATTCATCTACTTTAATACCATAGGACTTTAATCTCTACAAAATATTACTACAAATCAGACGAGGCACAACATTCAATTTTCATCATAAATGAGGAAAACATGCAAATAATACAAATTAATTCACAAAATATAACAGTTCTTACAAAAAAAAGACGTCTATATTCTTATTTATTCATATCTCAATGTCATGATTAGGATAATGATGTATACCAACAAATAATATATTCAATCAGCAACTATTCTTTTGTAAATATATTTTTGAGCAAACTTATGAAAACACTTCTAAATTTTAAAATACAATCAATTATGATGTGTTTTTTCATTGTACAGATATATTAATATTCATAAAGTTATATATAGCCCCCCAACAATACATATCTTTCATTATGAATTAAGTATAGGCCGATTTTAGTAAAATGAACAGTTTAATAGACTCTAATGTCCTTTAACTGTGATAATGTACATATACACTTTGGATGTTCATTTTGATTTATATTTACCTCTGTAAAATTTCCCACCATTTCCTGTACCAGTGATCTCATAGGTGCCACATAAACAATTTTAAAGTCATCAGTATTAATAGTACCATCAGTATTAACATGTTTACCTATCTCTTTTAATATACATAATAACGCTACGTTAGTTTTACCAGCACCCTATAATATAAATTACAATCCATTATTTACAACAACAAAAATAAAAGTTTAAATTGAAATGGTCAACCTCTAAATTAAAATAGATTGAAATGAAATGGGGAATTTCTGAATTGAATGGTGAACTTTTGAATTGAAATGGTGAACTTGGTGACTTTGCCACTGAGAATACATTGCCACTGTTCTCAATTTAACAATTTTTAGGCAAATGTTTAAAATTCATATTCCATGTGTACACAGAAGTACTGAACATGAAATAATAAATCAAACGGGGTTTATGACACATCATAGTATTTATATGTAACATTTAAGATTGTTCAACCTTTTTAATGTTATGGGATTGTGGTACTTGTACTTACAGTAGGTGCACACAATAATAAATTCTGATCAGTTTCCATGGTAACTTTACACAGACGACTCTGGATTCTATTTAAACTTTTAAATCCTTCAAAAGCAGGTTGTGCATATTTTGGTAATCTGTCTATTGGAACTAAAGACTGAAACATAAATAAAAGTATGTTAAATGAAATATGGTTTAACGCCCTACTGTTCTGCTCCAACTGGGCTAATGAAGACAAGCATATGTCATAAAGTGTGCTGTGAGGAAAAATTTTCACGGGCAGTGGCAGTGGCGCTACCACCTACTCCAATATTGAATTTCAACTGCCAAGGGCTTTCACACGTCAGCTAATGTGTACAAGGGACCACGCTGGAAAATCATGATAAACTTTCTCAGGGATCGAACACGAGAACCTCCCAGTTAGTGAGCCAATGTCTTATGCAATGAGCCACTGTCACTGCCTTATGTGTAATGAGGTATCTCTGTTAGCATTTTGCAGATCATGAATTAATGTCTTCTTCAAATTGACACAAACTGCTTTAAAACGAGTTCCTTATTAGTTCACTATTAAAGTACATGGAGTCCATCTTTAGTTAAAAATTCTAAAACTATTTATAATAATTTTAGCTGACTATACTGCTTGGTAAGATTACTTTATTGTGTATGGTCCAATAGTCTCTATATTTTCTATAATGTCTGGAATATTGTGCATTTAATTGTGTAGCCTACTATTTTTTAAAAAAAAAAACATTATCCAACTGAGCCTAAAACCTATGTTCCAATAATTCTCACCTCATCGGTATCAAATGGTTTTGGTTTCAGAGCTGGAACATGAACTTCTTCATAGCCTATAACAAAATAAAAGAATATAATTATACTTTTTACTATGATTAAATGTGCAACAAGCCCAGATAATAACAATCTTTCTATGTTATTCATAGAACCAGGCCCAGATTTTGGGAACCTGGCGTGAAAAATATTAAAGCAGATAATGTTACTGTCGAACGTGTATATGGATCAATCCATTAAAGATATTGAATTTGATTGAAATTTTATAACTGAGGAACAATAACAAACCTTTTCTCTGTTTTCTAAAAGAACCATCAGGGAGTTGACATCTTTTGTTAGCCATTAAATGTGAACCTTGTGCAAATGTCAGGTCATCAAGATCTAAATTCTGAACTGGTCCCAACTCCTGCAACAATAAATTGAAAACTTTAAAGATCTTTTAAAGAGAGTGAGAGAGAGATGGGGTTTAACGTCCACTCAACAAAAACTAGGTCATTTCGAGACTAATATATGGTTCAAATTTATTTAAATAATTCACGTGCAAGTAGGGGTCTTTAGCAGTGGTAAGAAACCGGAGGACCTGGAGAAAACCCACAAGGCTGGACAGGCAACCCCACTCCTTGTAACGTACAAGTGGGGAACCAAAACCAGTTAGAGTCAAATAAACTGTACATATGTTTTAGTGGTTGTTTAACTAATCCTTACTAAGAAATATCTTAATAAGTCAGTCGTTGTTTTTTGTATTTTAGAGGAGAGTCGAAAAAAGCTCCCCTTAATAAACAAATTGAAAAAATTGCTCCCATAAAAAAGTTCTCCCGGTTTCGAAATTCAGGTCCACTGCAGGCGCCCACAAGCGATCGGCGCCTCAAAAAACAATGACTGCTAAGTGAGTCAATGTATTTCCATAATCTGGTTCTCAGACAATCCAAACCAATAATCTGATGCAGGAAGAAGGTTTTTGTTTTTTTTACTATGTCAATGATTTCTCACACCCATCAAATTTCAAGAAACAACATTTATCTCACCATGTTGTTTATAATTATGTACATGTATGATTACCCAGTATTATTTATCAGGGTTGTGTACTTTATAAACAGATTATGCAGTCCTTTTAAAGTGACACAGGATTGTATGAGAACCTAAACATTTTTTTATATGACCTAATAATGTTTTTTTCAATATATTATTCACAATTAATTACATTCTTATTTTCTCAGTGAGAGCAACAATCTGATTAAAATACAAATCTATATTTCGTTACATTTTTTTTATACTTTTGACGGCCTACGCTACATGAAGATCTGACTGGCTGTACTAGACGGTCACGTCAGGGGTCGAACAAGTGGCTTTTGACCCTATGACGTGAGTGATTAATCAATCAGCGTTGACGTTTCTAGTGGTTTACCCACAGTTCCATGCATCGCAGGCCAAAAACTTGCCGTAGCAGACCATTTCATTGGCTAATCCCTCACTTCAACCAGATATCAACTCTTCCAGATTGTAGTGTAATAAAGAGAAATAAAACTAAATTTTGACTATAAAAAAACAAAACGAATTATAAGCTGTGTTTTAATCATATTGTGAGAGCGATAAGGTCACTTTAAAGACAAACACTTCCAATTACTAGTATTAAAATAATGTATAAACTTACAGGTTTGTCATCAACATCCATAGCTTCAATATCAGCTGCTACTCTAGTCTGTCTCGCTTGTTGGCGTCTAGCTCTTTCTTCACTTACAATATCATCCCTCTCTGTCTCTTGTAATGTTGCTAGAATGAGTCGAAGCTCAGCATCACTCATCATCTTTTCTTCTATCTTATTTCTTTCTGATTTAGTCTGGGCAGATGCCAAGAGAGTACAATACAGAACTATAAAGATAAAATATAAATCAATATTCATTATGAGATACAGACTGTTATATAGACTATAATATAATATTACAAGTTAATAAATATCTTTTGTAATTCAAATTTTATATCATTTCTAGCTTATATGATTATTATGGTTTTGTATGAAATTCTACTTCTAAATATCATTTTATATCATTTCTAGCTTATATGATTATTATGTTGTTTTTTTTTATGAAATTCTACTTCTAAATATCATTTTATGATTTCTATTTTTATTATTGGTGTATGCTCTGGTCCTACTTTAATAAGACATTAATCAAATCTAAGTATCATGCCGAGAGCCAGATTGCAATGTCCAATACTTGAAATGTAAAATATTAATATTGTACCTAAACAATAATAAAACCGTTGAATTGAGAAATTCAACAAAACAAAAATACTTACTCATTTGTCTGTTCATACGAAGTATTTTAATAAATTCAAACTGTGTAACACCCAGTAACATAACTAACTGATTTTCACATTCTCTATCATCACCAGCATTCTATAATCATATAAAACATTCATTGTTAGAATAATTCTTTATTGTACACTGCTACATTGATCAATTTCTTGGTGCTATGATTATACAACCATCTATCTAACCTCAAGGATTGAATTTGACTGATGCAAGCATCCCAAAAGCAAAATTATGGCCAAAAATTACAGGATTTTTTCCATCATCCTTCATCTTGAAATACAAATACATCTATTACCTAAATCTGCCCGGTATTCAAAATTCTACAATATTTTCTGAGTCCAATTTTGATCATTTTGCTGCTGTTAAAATTTTATTGATATTGATAACTATAATCCTGAGTTATGAGGATGCAAGTTATTAAGATCTGATCGATCATGTCATAACAAATGCTTAGATATTTTACCCCCTCACCAGTTATACTTACATTTAATATATCAAGAACTTCTTTAGATTTAGTTTGAGCCATATTTGGATCATCAGGATAAGCTTTACTTAGTTTTCTTTGAATCCAGAAAGCATCAACATCTCTTGGATGTAAACCACCATCAGCTTTTTGTGCCTCCTCATTTAACTAATAAAAACAATAATTACAAAATATTGTAAAATTAAGAATAAATCTTGTTAACATAATTTAGTAAATCTCAAGCATACTTGTATTTTTAGCAAATGTATTATTTGTAGATAGAAATAGTTTCACCCTTGAGATTTGGGATCACAATATAGATTTGAGTTTAGCTTTATAAAGTTACAGGGATTAATTGTCCCTTCAACCAAACTAGGTCATTCAATCAACAGCAAATTCCATATCTTTCATTAATTTGATTGCGTCCAGATGAATATAGCTTGCTGATGAAACAAAGTGTTTACAATATAGGTAGATGACCCTACTCCTTGTCATCTATATTTAGCAGGAATGATATACATGATCAGCAAAACATGGATTTACACCTAACCTTAGTTTAATACTAGATAAGTATATTGTTCTTCTTTTAAAATTAATGGAGAGCATAGACAAATAAAAGATAGATATATATTTACATTAGAATGTAATGAAACATCTATATTTGCTTCTTCTCCTTCATCAGCTTCTTCATCTTCTTGTACTTCACCAAACATATCAGCATCATCCTATAATAACAGTAATACATACTTCCATCATATAACCATCCAGACATCACAGAGCCTTTATAATTTATACAGTCCCTAGTATCATACTCTTATATACATGTAAGACACAGACTGAACAGTCAATATAGTCTAATAATTTGGGAGATGTAATCTATGGAACTTTTCCCATCAAGTCTGGAAATAATGCACCTGCCAGTGTCAGGCATTATCTGACACAATCCCTCCTATGTTTGCTCTTTTATTTAGCACAGATTTATCATTTTCCAACGATTTTATTAATACATGTCAGGCACAAGATCAGGTAAATTTTGTCAGATAATCAATCATTTACAGGCATGTTTCCCAGGTAGCAGATATCTATCAAATTATAACAATTACCTCATCTTCGGATTCTTCAAACTGTACATTAACACCATATGTTTCATCTATGTTCTCAGCTATAAAATACAACATATAAATAGTCTTAAATAAACATATTTAAAATTACAGTGCAATTAGTTGACAAAAAAATAGTGTGTTGTTTAAAAAGTAATTTACATAATTTGCAGACCTTCTGACAGTACCAATCTTCAACCTAAATTCAAAGTCACACCTTGCTTTAACTACATTTATGTGTCAACGGTACAAATAACATATAAATGTGTTAAAATAATCAAAATGAAATAACGCATTAAATCTTATGATATCATCATTATTTCTTTAACAAGGAATCAGTAAAAACTTCAGGTACCAGACTCATAAACTGAATACATGTCCTACTGATTATAGCAAATATATTTTATTGACACAAAACTCAACAGATATTACATATCGAACAAATCATGTAGATATTATTTGTAGACCATTGAAAGCGTCTTCAAATGACCATCTGTCAATATGCACTATTATTGCCACTTGGTAAGGACAAACTTGTGTTATGGTTGATATGATAACTTGTAACAACAAAAGTAACATGGATATTCAGGTGATTTGGTACCTAATGACTAATGAGTTAATTATAGAAATAAACGTACATGTTGCCATTTTTTCTTCTTGGCCATAATCTGTTATTTTCTTGCCAAGATTAGTTAATAAAGCAAATCTTTCTTCAGGAATGGATCCTAATAAATTCTCAAATTCTCGCATTTTTTCTTTCTCTCTCATCCTGTCATTTTTCAGTACAGAAAGAACTTCATCTGCAGCTCCACAAAGAACATCTCTGGGCTGTAAACAAACGTACAAAATCCTTTAAAACGAAATCAATATAAATTAAGAAAGCAAATTTTATCACTCTTTAATTCAGTTCTGTAAACAGGATGCACTAAATCTTCACAATAACCATGTTTAAAACCAATGCAAAAGACAAATTTGCCCATTCTTAAATTAAGACAACTTGTAAGATCTTCTAGGATTTTACATGATCAGGCAACAAATCTTATATTGGTAGCCCTGTAGATTTACTGAATATTAAGAATTTGAACAAACCTGATCACCAATAGCTGCCTGTATAAAACTTAGAAGTACTTCATATGTTTGTCTTGTTTCTTGAGTTTTAGGTCTGTAGACAATACCCACCATGTTGTCAAGACCTTCTGATAGTAATGTTGTTCCTTTCATTTTAATCATATCTCTTTGTGCTTCATCTCTTTTACGTCTCCTAAAAACAATAAATCAAACAGCATGAAATACATGTCAATGAGACATAAATGCAAGTAATATCATGAAACTTATTATCAACTATCCTTAAAAGACTCCCAATGTTTCTACTCTTTTCAAAACCAGTGATACTTGTCATTCATTACACTAAACCTTTCTTCAACTCATAAATTCATTGCAAATTCACTAACTTTATTTTTCTTTCTTCCATTTGAGGGGGCTTTGTTTTCTGTGCTTTGTCTCCCATCTTGGTGCCAAGAAGTTTCCCTGTAAGGGACATAACCTCTCCTGTAGCTTCATCTCGAGCTCTTCTATCAATCAAAGTTCTATCTACTTGCAATACAAGATTGGAATTCTGAAAGAAAAGAAACAAGAAATGATTATAGATCCTGATCAAGAATGGTAAAAGCTTCTAGGCCATGCCTACTACGTATTACTTCATCCGAGAAAAAAAAATAAATTGCTGACTCACATTAAACAGAAAGAATATGTGTCCCGACAGATATTGAAGAAAGAGATGCCAAATGTTCCAAACCAAGAACAATTGTTTGAACAAGGATAGACCTACACACAGCCATGAAAACTTGTTAAAAAAACATTGATCTCACTGATGAGGTTGTTTATACATGTAGCTACCATCTGAGGCCTATCGTTTACCCTTGCAATATACATATACATGTATCACTACCCTGTGAAACAGCAAAAGACAGTGACTGGTTGGTAAAGTTATCATTTCTAAGTCTTCTACTTTCTAATGGATGGGATACCAGGGCAAAGAAATTGGAATCTTTGAAAAAATTAAAATCTGAAAATTGAAAGATTCCAATTTCTTTCCCCTGGCCTAATGGGTTACCTAAATTTGTACATTGACCTATATTTAGAGTGCAATAGTGGCGCTCAAGCAACTTAGGAGAGAGAGAGAGAGAAATGAGTTCAACATCCACTCGATACAAACTAGGTTGACACAAACTAGGTCATTTCGGGGCTAACACATGGTTAAATTATATTTCAATAATTCGCTTGTGCGTAGGGGACTTTAGCAGTGGGAGGAAACATGAGGACCCAGAGAAAACCCACGAGGTTGGACAGGCGACCCTACTCCTTGTCATGTACAGCCTACAGGTCTTATTTTCTTGCATTGTGTACAGGGAGGGATTCAATGTGAGTGACTGACACTAGTAGTGACACGCGACCGTTTATAATTAGGAGTAAAAAGTTGCCTAGTAAGATTTTCTGGGGAGTGAAGCGAGTGTATCTCACTCTCAGCGTTTTTAGCTACGTTCTCGTACACCGTACAGTCGAACCGTACGTCGATTTTACTGTTTATTTAGCCAATACCGACTGTCTCGAGCTCATCTCTTATATCAGTGCATGTAAGTTATTTAGACATTAAATGTGATACTTACAACTTTGTATTCGTACTGCAGTGAACGTGCCGCTGCGTCAGCCATGGTTGTGGATTTATTTACTACTTTTCCTTGTTTTATTTACGATTTACCCACGTTCTAAAATAATAATGGCGGCACATTCAGCTTCCGGTCAAACAAAATATAGATAAAGACATAATGGTAAAACGAAATGTAGTTTTTTTGGCAACTGTTAGATAGTCATTATGAACTTTCTTATTGAATAAACCATAATCTATGTCTCAATTTCATCTAATGGCTGGAGTCACAAAATACTTATAAAATTAAAATAAAATCTAGATTCTTTTTATAATTTTTTACCCACATCAAATTTTAATAGACCAAGGCCAGATAACTCGATAACTCGAACCCCAAAGTGAAAGTAGAAAAGAAACTAAGTCCTGTCTTGAACAAAAGAAACGGAAATTTGAAGTATTTCAGTGCATTCAGTATTTTATTTTTTATATTTATTTTCTACCAAATACGAAATTTAAAACTGAAAATCGAATTTCTTGTGGTTGGTATAAGATTTTCATAGAATTCCTACTAATATTGTCAGCAACATAATTATAATGTTAATAAATAATGTCACAGTTCTGCTAGTGATGTCATCTTTATTTATATGCATCATCATATATACATCTAAATAGAAAAATTCGAAGAGTTGTGAGCATTCAGAAATAGTATTGTGATTTAGTTGCTAATGATGTTCAGCCTTGAATATTGTTTTTTGTACATCAAGCGATTAAGTCCAGAATGTTCCAATTTGATAGCGCAATATCAAGCAAGTCCCAATAACAGATGTGGCGTAAGTGGAATCATAACATTATATAAACATGGCAGACAAGTTTCTGCTGATGATGATGGAAATATACATGTTGAAGAAATCATTAGATTGAACAAAAAACATTATGCCTACATTGACCTCCTGGGGTTTTGGATATTTATCACCTTTTGAATTCATTGGGATCAGATACTAATTGCCCTATTCTTTATTTACAGAGACATTGTGACTGTAACAATGGCTGAGTCAGAAGAAATAAATAAAGCAACAAAAAAACTTGAAGATATTTCTCTTAAGACTGATGCAGATGAAACAGAAAAATATGTAGATTGTGATAATGAAATAAAACAAAACATAGGAAAAGAAGAGACACTTTCTAAAATATCAGACAGTTCTGAATCAGTATCATCTGAGCTAAAAAGTGAAGACAATAAACAAAAAAATACCAATAAAGAACAATGTGATAGTGAAGAAGAGTATTTCTCAGTGGGTGAAGATGATAATGAAGATGAGGAGGAGGAGGAAGAAGATGATGTGAAAGTTGAAAAGATAGATGAGGACGAATACAAGAGGACTCTAGAAGAAACTTTGTCTGATGATGAAAAATTGGTAATTGTTTAAGCATAGTTCATTTCAATAAGGGGACATGGTCAGGTAGTCAAGCAGTTAGGGGATTGGACTGTACTCTTAAAGTTACATGTAGAATGACTTGGACTCATGAAGAACCTTCTCATTGCACATGTAGCCCTTGAAATAAAAATTACCCAATGTTAGACTGAAAATGAACTAACTGTGTTCTTGCTATAACGTTAAACCCCAGTCCATTCAATGTTATTCTACTTTAATCTTTGTAGATTTACCTCCCCTGACCTGTGCTGTCACTACATGTAGTTGGTGTGGAGAGGAAATCGTTGAAAATAATGCAGATTTAGAAACTAGAAAGATCATTGACTTGACATGCTTTTCAAATATTAGAGAGCATTACTTATTGTAGAGATCTACAAATTTTCGTTGACATAATATTGCCTTAAAGCACATTGTTACTTACAGCAGTAAAGCTAATATCTACTGGAATTCTCATACCACCAAATGGGCGCTCCATTATAACTCACAGACAGTTTTAAGTTTTGGTGATAAGATTTAGTATCCTAATAATGGATTAGCTCTGTTTACTGCAAAAAAACTCTGTTGAATACCATAAACTCCCTTTTTATACGCCCACATTGAAATGTAGTCGTATATTGTTGTTGCCCTCGTCCATCCGTCGATCCAGCGTCCACAATTGCTTGTGGACGCTCTAGCCAATTTACTTTAAATTTTTACACAGTATTTAAGGTCATGAGACAAAGAAGCCTATTAATTTTCAGTGATTTCCGATAATTACTGCCAGAGTTATGGCCCTTGATCACTTTGAAAAATCTTGTGGATGCTCTAGAGGCAAAAGTTAATATCCGATTGACTGTAAATTTATACACAGTGTTTAAGGTCCTGAGACGAAGAAGCCCAGTGATTTTCAGTGATTTCCAATAATTAGTACCAGAGTTATGGCCCTTGATGACTTTGAAAAATCTTGTGGATGCTGTAGAGACCAAAGTTATCATCCGATTGACTTTAGATTGATAAACAGAGTTTAAGGTCTTGAAACGAACAAGTATTTTGATTTTTAATGAATTTTGATAACTTGGAACAGCTAAATCCATGATATTAAATGTTTCGTATACTAAACGTTAGCAGAACTAAAAGCCAAACAATTTCTAATGATTTTCAGATATTTACTTAATGAGTTGTTACTCTTAATCAGATTTTAGTGTATGATAAATATTTCATTACCGACTGCTTGGATGACTTAGCTGCTGTGTGTGGGCGTATGTTTCGTTGCCTGGCAACCTATCTTTTGGAAACATGTGATGGGTTTTGATTCATTTTTATATGGAAATAAAATTAAGAATAAATATTCATTAAATTGAATTATTGTCAATTTTTTTCAGGAAAGAAAAAACAAGTCCCAAGAATGCAAAGATGAGGGCAACAAGTTCTTTCGAGAGTCTGAGTTTAATGAAGCTATTGATAAATATTCAGAAGCTTTAAAGATATGCCCCTTTGCTTTCCCTAAAGAAAGATCTATCATGTATTCTAACAGAGGTGCTTGTCATATGAAATTAGTAAGTAAACAAAATTATAACACAAATTTTTCCACTAGACATAAATTGGTTTAATTTTAGTAAAGGTCTTGGGAGTTTGGGGGAGGAGAGGGCAGGGTTGGATGGTTATAAGTGGTGCATGTGATTTAGATCATAAGGCTTTCATTTGTGCAAGTCATGGGTTTGATCCCAGGTTGTTATGTTGTCAAGTGGTTGAGTCACCAATCTAACTTTGCAGGTTTTCTCTGGATACTCAACTTTTCTCCTTCTTTAAAGACCCCTGTGCACATTTGAATTATTATAAAAAGAATCAATATGGTTCGTGTTGTGTGGATATTAAACTAATTTCCTAATTATTAATGACTAGCATTTAAAACAAGTTTCACTATGGGTGTATTCCTAATTATTAATGACTAGCATTTAAAACAAGTTTCACTCATAGGTTCTAGACTAGTTTGTAATATTGGACAATGGTTGTATTCTTTTGAAAGTATTAACATAGGCTATTGATTCAATAAAGGGGATACTACAGACAAGTTTTAATCTTGATAGTTATAGTTGAAAATTCTGTTTGATCATTTGGTGTAGAGAAGTTCTTTTGGTGTAGAGAAGTTCTTGGTAGCATGACAGAACATTTACATGTAATTTTAGCTTAATGTAGGGGGCTTGGTGGTCTTTCATATATGATAACTGTGGGTATGATCCAAGCAGTTAGGTCACATGAATAACATACCGGTACTGCGTTTTCTACTGGTTCTCTGGTAACAGATCTCTACTTACAAGCAACTTTTGAAAAAAAAAATTATTACCATATTTTAGTCTCGAAATGAGAACCCCATTTTAAGTAATATTTTATGTAAAATTAAGAGTAGCGTTTGAGGATTGTCAATTTTTCAGTTTTGCATTCTTTAAACATGTATTTTATTTTACAGGAGAATAATGAAGAGGCAATAAAAGATTGTAGTAGTGCTATAGATTTACATCCCCACTATTTAAAAGCCGTGTTAAGAAGAGCAGAACTTTATGAAAAAATAGATAAATTAGATGAAGCACTAGCAGATTATCAGAAAGCTGTAGAATTAGATCCTACACAGAATAAAGCTAGAATCACTGCTATGGTAAGTACTGTACATCCCAGGGCTCCCATTTTACTCATATTTGCATGTACTGAAGGATGCATTGAATTGGCTGGCTAAAGAACTTAATCAGTCAAATTACATGAATTTGAATTTCAAAGAATTTTATGGTAAAATAAATACAGATAAATTTATAGTGTTTATGTGTAAAATATATTTAACAGGACAATGCCAAAAATTGTCATGTTTTTGGGAAAAAATATATCTACGTATGAGATAAGTAAAAGTGTGAAGTCAAAGCCACAATACATCTAAACTAATTAGTCTAATGCAAATATAACGGGACCGTTTCCATTTAACTGGCATGCAGTAATGTGTACATGGAAAACAGAGATAAGATAACCAAATGTGTCTTAAGCATCTTGTCAACACTCAAAGAAGGAGACAAATTTTCCATTATAACAATTCTACATGCTTCATGTCCTGTGATCGGACGAACTTCGACAGAGAATAAAAATAAAAATATACACCTTGGCCAAAAAAACTCAAAACAACTCTTGATTAATTTTTTATCAATTTGGAATTTTTATATTATAACTGGTTGGTGTATAATTACAATGCTCAATGGAAGATCGGATGATCATCTGCTGAAGATCAAACTTCTAACAATCGTGCACAAAGGGCAGAAACAGCAAATGTAATAATGTTAATTCTGAATAATGAAGTAGTCCAGATGTGTCCAGTTTTTGTTATTTGGTTTTTTTTTTCAGAGACTAGCAGATCAAATAAAAGACAGAAATGAAAAAATGAAAACAGAAATGTTAGGTATGTTTTCTTTTTTTAAAAAAACTATAATTAAATTGTGTAGTGCCACTGCCCTGGCAAAATGTGCTATGTTATTGATATTATTAGCTTCTTACTGAATTTGGTACATTAAAATGTAAATCTTGAATTTTTTTTGTCCCTCTGAATGACTACACCCTTGCTAAGACATCCTGAACAACTGGCAAGAGGAAATCTGGCAGTATACATTAAAGTAAGCCTAGCTGTCTTTATTTTGGATTAACTCTTTTTCTTTTATCTCTTTCAGGAAAGTTAAAGGATTTGGGTAATTTAGTATTAAAGCCATTTGGACTTTCAACTGATAATTTCCAATTACAGCAGGGTGAAACTGGTTCCTATAGTGTAAACTTTAAGCAGAACTGAAACTATATATAATTCTTCTCTTTTTTTTCATATAATGTAAATTCATAAAAAGAGATAAAGTCATTGCAGAGTCAAAAAGTCGTATCTGGTATTTGCAAATTTTTCAGCAGCGATTATGAATCATGATACCATACGAAATTGTGAAAATTTGGTCCCAAAATGTATTTCTAAAGTTTTTCTAAAATATTTCCATGAAAAGTGTGTGTGTGTGTAGCTGTTCAAACATCATGTTGCTGTTCATACATTTTGTACAAAACATTCAGAATAGAAATATGGAGTGAAAGTTGGTCATTATTCGCTTGAATTTCATAGATATAAAGCAGTAGATTCTAAATACTAATAAGTATTGACTTCTTTTGTTGATAAATTTTATATTGATGTATTTTGTAAACAGCCATTTAAGACATTTTGACAAAATATCTATAAATCCCTTTTGTATTGGCTTAAAAATATGAAAAATAAATGAAAAAATGCTCAAGTACATGAAGAGAAAAAATATTTTAGATTCAACCTTTTGACTCCATATTTATTTTCATTTCGCAGTATCTTCATGAGTTTTCAGGCAGTTTGGTTAAATTAAACTTATACTTCTTTTTCATGCTATATTTTGATAAGTAGGGTTTTATTGAGTCAACATTTAGTCATATTCTGCAAATTGTACTACATGTATTTATTAGCAATAAATTGTATTGCTCCTTGGGCAAGGCAAGAGGTACCTGTCTTTTAACAGCAAACAATTATACAATGTATATGTATCTGAATTTCAATTTGTAGCAAATGGAATTCAGATCTGTCCAGGTGCTTTAAAGGGGTAGTGAGAAAATGTTTTTTTTTCTTTTTGGGTTTTAAACTAGCTAATAAACTTTGTTTTTGAAAGCTGTTTATTTTAACCTTCATTGAAGGGAAAATGACATTGTATATCAAATATGCCATACACTTTTTTCTTTAAAAATGTGTGATGTTGTTTAGCAAATGATTTCTGTATGTTATAGTCTCTAATCGTCTTTGTGGGGTTTTAATTCCCATGCAAACTACAATATTATAAAAGTTAAATCTATAAAAGAAATATTGGCCTAAAACAATGAACTGAAAGTTTGTCAACATTTGTAACCCTTTGTAAAGTTATAACCAGATATGGTCAAAACACGCCAGTGCCATCTAAAATCTTTTGATTGGCCTCTGTTTTATTTGATTGAATCCAAGATGGGAGATTATCTACCATTGATATTTTGATTCTGTTTGCTGAAGTCAATGTAAAGTAATCAATTTGAATATATTTAGCATGGATTAACACATACATTATGCAAGAGCTAAATCGGCCTATTGCAGGTCTTCCTCTAGGTCTGAAAATGTTATCTAAATTATTAATTAACTTTTTCAGACCATAATCAACTCTCAATGTCAACGTTAGCCTGTGATATTTTGGGGATTTGAATACATTTTGTGATGGATAATTTAATGTAAAAATGGATAATTACTGTCTTTATTATCGTAGCAACGTTAGTAATGAAGATCGAGGCTAGCCTAAAATTGAATCGCTAATATCACTGTTCAGAACAAAGCAATTTGACTGAAATTTTCAGCATATTCTGTTTTCATTATCTATTTTTTAACTATTATAGCGAAAACTGTCAGCTCTTTATCTAATCTTACCTAATGCTCCTTTAAGCGGTGAAAAATGAGATATTATTAGAAAAATGCAAATGCCAATCAACGGCTTAAGTCCAATGTATTCCCCTTTATAAATACTTTCATGAAAATGGTCAAAATAACTATTAAGATTACAATTTGAATTATAGTGTCACTACGCTAGAGGTTAGTCTTTATTATGAGGATTTAGTTTTTTTCAGTTTGGTGCACCATAAAATTGATTGTACAATATTGTATCTTGTAAAACACTGTATGTATATTGTATATTTGTAAAGGTGAATAAAATGTACATATTACTCATTGTATAACAGAAGGACCAGTTGATTTATCTACCAAGTTGGGTCTGTGACCGGTATTTACGGTCAGGTGTATTAATTTCTTGTAAGAGTGATAAGTCTCCATTAACAAGTCTCTAGTCCCCAGAAGATAAAGAAACAGTTCCAAATTTCATAGTATATCGGTTGATATGAAAACTGTTATGTAGCTAGTTAACTGTATTAGTATAGGTTGTGTATTCTGATTTCTAAGCGCCCTGCATGTATATTTACACAATGGTGCACACATCTTTCTAATTATAGAAATCTCTAAACAGATGAGTCTGTATTATTAAATTAAAATAGTTCAGTATATTCTCTGGTGTCTCTGAACAATTCATCCCAAAGTTTGACACACCTTAGGGAAAGCGAAAACTCGTTCATCTGGCATTAAATGCTATTAGGGTGAGTTCACATCCCAAACAAAGATTAGTTCAACCAGTGGTGTACACATTAAACATTTCCATCACCATGCAATTAGGAGCTGTCTTACATGATCACGGTGAATAAGTGGGTAAGATCTGGTTCGCTAGCCTGGAGGTCCCTGCATTGGCCGAGAAAGTTCATCCAGATTTTTTGGCGTGGTTCCCCCTTGTGAGTGATGCAGGATTGAGGGCCTGACAAGGACAGCTGTCTAGTCGTTCGGATGGGACGAAAAACCGAGGTCCCGTGTACACATTGGCGTGCACATAAAAGATCCCTTGACAGTTGGAATTCGATATAAGAGTAGGCCGTAGTGCCGCTGTCCGGACACAATTTCCCTCATAGCACACTGTATGGCGTATGCCCGTCTTCGGAGCAGAACAGTAGGACGTTAAACCCCATTTCATTTCATTTCATTTATTAATGATTTATAGGTGCCGACGAGGCCTTTAAACTTTATCAGGTTTCTTGCCGGTAACCAGTGTAGTTACTTTAGGAGTAAGAATATGCGATTATATTTTGAGGTTCCTGTGACTCGAAGATCTTTCGGTGTTTTCTTTCAGATATTTGAAATCCATATAAGGACTGCTCCTGGCGTATCTGCGATATCACCCGCGATGGAAGCGGACGTTATTCACAACGTACGAACGAACGAACTGCTTCTGGTGCTCCAGGTAAAGCTCAATTCGGAGATGACCAAAGCGTTGGTAACCGTTTTGCGAGCACTCGGATTCCAGTAGTTCCTTCTTTTGGAGACAGACCTCATTTGAAAATATATGCAACTTAATTATGATGTTTATTTGGGAAATTGCAGACATATGTTAATTTGTAGGTATCCATAGCGTAGGTTTGGAAATTGAGATTTCGGGCAGATATTCACAGTTTGCAATACTGATTTGTGTCTTTTATTGGGTTTTTTTTTTATTAATAATTAAGTTACGGTTTCATCATCGTTTCGTTTCAATTTGATGTTTAACATCCAGCTACGAATGTCCACATGACAATTTCCCATGTCAGAGCACCATGGTTCCGAGGAACAAAACAAGTCGAATATCTGATAATTGCACACATTGATATTTCTTACCGGCTGATCAAGTGGTAAGATATACATGAGAAAGAATACGGCCCGCCAGTACTTAATAATATAGGATAAGAAAGATATATTGTATTGTTTGTGATCTGTTATTAATGGTACGATTTGATCCACTGTAATATAGCAGCACCTACATCTGTAACTGTTTTGTTTTAAAGCACATAAATGGGGTTTGTTCAAGTGCAGCCTATAGGCTCGATTGGGGCGGGTGTGCCTTATAGGCGGGATTTTTTTTTCTTAAAAATTCGACGCCTTCTCCTAATTCACTTTATGGTTTCAAACACTGTATTTACGTTGATTGGGAAGTGCCCATTCCGATTTGTTGAAGGGCAGAGGGGACGATTCAAATACTTTTCGCACATGTTATCGTCTTTGATACAGGGAAAATGGTGACGGGATTTCATTCCCGGTGCTAACCCTTTTACAAATAATCGCCCCTTTTCCTATGCGGATTGTTCACCCGTCTGACGTCTTTCTACATAGGTGTCTCTTTGCATTTAGAATAATACAACAGGCATAATAAAAATTGACGAAAAGGAATACCTTTGTGACCTAAATGGTTTATTCAAAACTATTTAAAAAAACCCCAACATTTTAGCGTAAAGTAAAATAGTACATTTATATTGATTTTAAATGCCCTCTTATATGAATCATATATAAAAGTTAATACATATTTTATGTTCTTCAAAATCAGTATAGTTATAATTTACCAGCGTAACACACATGTACATCAATTCCTTAATATTTACAATACAATGATTAAATTTAAGAAATATTTCTTATTAAAAGTTTACATTGATATAGAATAAGTTTATGTATCTTTAAAAGTAGTATGTTTATCTAATTCTGTGTTTAAATCTAATATGGGAGGTAACTTGTTGTATTTACCAATATACGGACGTTTTGTCTGTTTTATTGAAGGTAACTTTGGTTGTTTAATTGTTGATAATGTTGGTACTGAATTCAGTAGATTTGGTAGAACAGGAATTTTCATTTTGTTAACAATCTTGTATATTTTACTGTTGTCTCCAGCTGTGATAGATTTAATCTTAGGCAGAGTAGACTTTCCAGACTTGATCTGTGGTAAGTTAGAATTTCCAGACTTGATATTTGGCAAATTTGAATTTCCAGACTTGATCTTGGGCAAGTTAGAGTTTTCAGACTTGATCTTTGGCAAGGTACAATTAATTTTTCCAGATGGTAGCTTGATCCCTGGGAGGGTGGAATAAATATTTCCAAACGATGACTTGGTTTTTGGCAGGGTACACCTAGAATGCATTTCTTTATTATTAGTGTGTGTTTTTGGCAGCAGCTTGGCTACTCGGACCTGGTTCTTCTTTTCTGTGATTGATAAAGTAGGTACATTAATGGTGTTAGATTTTGTGAATTTGAGTTTTTTCTTGCTGGAAGCATCATCATTGTTTATAGATTGATCTGAAGAATACATTCTTGGCTTTGTGGTTTTGTTTTCTGTATGTAGATCAGACGGAACTCGTCCAATAGCAGGCAATTTTTGATATTTCCCGAGACTATCTTGATAGCAGAATGATTCTTCTGTTCTTGAATTGTCACGAATCGTATATTTACTAAGAAAAGATGACGCATCTTCTTCTCTATTTTCAATCAGGTAGTCAATCATCTCTATTTCTGCTAAAATTCTTTCAATATCATTGGCAGGCGGAGTCTTGGGGTTAACATGATGTCTGAGATCTTCGCCCTGATTAATTTCGTTTCCTCCATTTTCAATAATCTGGAAAACTGCCCCTCTTTTCTCATTTATACATGATCTTTCAGTTCCAGTGGTTTCCTTCTCTATGGTAATCATTGAAGCACTGGATGAACTCGCTGATATAACCGATCGTTCTATGGGTGAATGACCTGTATGTAAAGAAGTACATGTATTGCCATTTGAAAACCCTCTGTTCTCTTGAACTAGACCAGATACGGTCTTTATTTCCGTTCCTTCTTCGGGAACCTTGGTTTTGTAAACATCTAATTCCTTTTTAAGAAGATCAGGTTTCAATATTTTACAGGTTGAATATCCATCCATATAAGATGAATACATACTTAATCCTGCATCGCATGTAATCTTTTCTTCCTTTCTCGCCATGAATTTTGGAGTTTCGACTTTGTCATTACTGTTATCAATCATATTCTTACCAATGGTATTAGCTCCCTCTTCTTTGTCCATTCTGTTACACCCCCTTATCTTGTTCATCGCTTCATCCATTTCCTTCCTGTCTCCTGTTTTACATTCATCACCATCTTCCAAGTTTAGATTGCCTTTAATCAAGGTTCTGTCTTTATGATCATCTGGACTGGGTTGTGTGATGCGTTCAAGTCGTTTATCCACTAAAGCTTTAACCAAGGGATCAACAACTAATGGACCGTCGTCTTGTATCCTCTTTCCGTAATGATATCGCACCCGTTTCTCGCTCTTTGTAGGTTGTACAACGCCATTCCCTCCTTTATACTTGGAACTTTCGTACAGCTTTCTATAGAAGTCTAATCCTTCGTCAGATCTTTCTACGCTGTCTTGCAGAATCATAATCCTATTCTTGCAATCGTCGTTGTCAGAATGTAGACGATCGATGTACCTATAATAGAAATAAGGTATATATTAATTTATCAAAGTAAGTAGTGTGTGTATCAAAGTGTCAAACTGGAGTCTTGTTACAAACTTAGATGTATATTAAGTTATTATGTATATTACAAACTTGTTTTGTTTAGGAAAAAGTGAGAAAAAAAAATGATTTACTTGTTAAGATCTTGAACTTCTTGCCGTAGATCAGCAATAATAGCTGAATCGGATTCAGCTTTGTGTGTTCTGACATCTTCTTCACCACCCACTAATGATGTACCTGAGAAATTAAAAGTTGATATAATATACAGAGCTGTATGGTTATACACCTTACAGGTTAACTATAATATAAACAATATTTGTTTCAGATTATGCTAACGAACATTATGCTATCGAACATAAGATGTTTTGGAACGATGGTTTTTTTTAAATATTATATTGTTTATTTTCTATCAGAAACTAACCTGAATCATGGTTTAATTTATTCTTTGGTTCCAGTGTAGTTTGGGTGTTTCCTCCATTTTCTTCAGACCGGAAACTTGATTCAGATATATTTACAGATTCTACATCAGAATCGAACTCAGACGTGGATTCTGAATACGATTTTTCCCAAAATGGTTCTCCGGGAATTGGTTCAGGGAGACCTGCAATTCAGAAATAAAACATATTACACACAAAAAAAAAAGAAAAAAAAAAGAAGATAATTATGTGAGAGGATTATTATGACATATTTGTAAAATATAACTTGTCTACTTCGTAGGATCGAAACCACGACAGGAAGAAGACCCCCGGCGCATACTGTAGGCCACTAGCTACACCCCCTTATAATAGAGTAAGAAATGTACCAGTGATTGTTCTAGGAGATGGATATGGAGCGTCTTCGTCATCTTCTCCTAGAGATACCATAGCTCGATGTCCTTCTAATACTTTCTTCTTAAAACCATGGAACCAATCCATTCTGTAATATAACAACACACAAATATAGAATCCCTTTTAACGTTATAAAAGAAACTAACGCTTGAACGGATAAAATTTACGGTCGCCTTCATTAATATGTAGAAAAAAACCTAAATAATATAATACACAATTTACAGAAAAAGGAAAACGTCTATTCACTTACCTTGAATCCATAGTTGTTGCAAAGAAGTAAAAATCTTTGAATAATAACAATTTTAACACAGAAATAGCATAAACGCGCCTTCCTGATTCTGAAACTTATAAAGTTGTGATAAAACAATAGAAATAACGTCATTATCTCGTAATTTTAATTGTGACGTCATAATAGTCAAACTTTTAACTCAGTATCAATTATTTAATGTTTTTGAAAATGTATGCCTTAAAATTAAAGATGCATTGTGTTAGAGATACATTATACTTATAGCCGCGATTGTCAAATACCTTTGAAACGATAATAAATAATCTATACTTCATCCTGCCAGAACTTCAAACACTTATAACTTCGCTCGGAATAAAGTAATTTCAAAGAAATTTTTAATATATTCATTTTTATTTATCTATTTTGAAAGTATTATAGCCAAAACAGGCAGCTCTATAAATCATACACAACTCACCTTTATTTTAAACAACAATGTTTTTATTTGATACCTATGTTGATTATTCTATGGTATACCTGTCCGGTATGGGCTACCATAAATCGCGAGACATTGAAAGATTGTATCTAACATTTTGAAAAAAAAAACCCCAAAACAAACAAAACACCCCCCCCCCCCAAAAAAAAACCCCAAAAAATGACCCCCCCCCCAAAAAAAAATGAACAAAAAACGTCTATCCTTCGGCTAAATCTTTTCAGCTTGGAATCAAAAGATAGCCTTGTAGGGCCATACTATATACCGGAAAACACCGGAAAACAACCGGAAAACACCATTTTATACTGAATACCGGAAAACACTAAATACCGGAAAACATCCTAAATACCGGAAACACCCTAAATAGGTAACCCGGAGCCCGGTCCTCTGTGTGCGGTTCCCCCCCGAGAACCTCAGGCAACCAATTTGTTTTATGTACTACTATCGTAATAAAACATTACTATGTTAACCACTTCCTGGTGGCTGAAGACTTACACCGAATCCGTATTCGGAAAAAAATGTCCCCGAGAAAATGTTTTTTCCGACAATCGATATTCGAGATGTCTTCTGTTGCACAAATTATGCTGCACTGTGTAAGAACTTGCATCCTTTGATCTGAAGATTGTAGATGGAAAAGTATCATTTGCACTATTTCAAAGTAAACCTGCATTGTCGTATATTATCCTGTAATTTGTGATTAATGACAATGACTGTGGAAATAATATGGTTTGAGGAACGGAAGATTTATGTTCGTCACGTGACTGGACAATTCACCCCCGTCCCACCCTGACGATGATCCCTTCCGGAGCGGCGCGGCGCGGCGGGCCCTGTAAAAAAAATCTCGGGCACAGTTTACTCTTCTAAGTTTTCCGGTAGCTATTTAGTAACCCGGAGTTTGGTCCTCGTGTGTGGTTTTGGACCAGGTGAGCGCTGATGAAATAAGTTCATTAACATACAAGCGAGCGATCGCCTACGGTCAAAGAAAAATTTCTTTTCAGATTTTTTTAAAACAATTTCTTCTCCCAAATTTCTCTCAAAAAAAATTCAAATTTTTTTTCCAGTATTTTTCTCTGTAAAGTTATTTTCTACCGAATGTTTTTTTGTAAAACCAATTTTTCGGAAAAAATCGAATTTTTTTCGTCAAAAAATTTTGGAGAAAAAAAAATCGGAATTTTTTTTTGGGGGGTGGGGGGGGGGGGGCTATTTGTAAAACGAACATCGTAATGAGCTTGACCTTCCTCCATCCGCGCTCCCTTGGTCCAAAACCGCACACAGAGGACCAGGCTCCGGGTTACCCATTTAGGGTGTTTTCCGGTATTTAGGGTGTTTTCCGGTATTCAGTTTTTTTCCGGTGTTTTCCGGTATTCAGTATAAAAATGGTGTTTTCCGGTTGTTTTCCGGTGT